ACGATCCCCCTAACATCACCCCCACCAACCCTATGAAGACTGCCTATACCAGGGGTGAGTTATGAAGTCTATCACACATGGTAAATATTACCTCTGCCCACCCCCTCCAACACCCCATAAGCCCTCCAGACAAATGCTAGCTTAGCGAGACTATCAGGGCTTTAAATGTTGGCCATAAAGAAAAAGAAGATGAAGGGAGAGAGAGGTGGAAGAGAAGGAGGAGGTGGAGGGCGAGTGGGAGGGAGCTGAAATGAAAATATGGAATATTATGGTGGAGAGGTGGCGATTCCTCAGGCCAAACACACACACACACACACACGTATAGATAGACCTGAGCGAGAGCGAGAAATGGGGTCTGTATGTTCCGATTTACGACTTGTCCGTTAAGTTGGGGGTTTCAAATTGGGCGGTGGTCAGAGAGTGATGAGCGCATGACATTTATTGGAGCCGGGGGACCTGGGTAAACTGTCAGTGAAGAGGGCGGCGCCACCCGGCGCCATGTGCGGCACTCGGCTGTTGAAGGTTATGTTGAAGTCTATGTCATTAAGAAGACAGACCCACTGTCAGGAAACATATCCTCCCCGGGTTTCCCCTCTCCTCTCCTTCTCACCAGGCAGAAACTGGCAGAAATCTATCAGCCGTCGGGGAGAGAAATCCTTTTATTAAGAAATAAAAGGGAGAAGTGGTCTACCCACCACAGTGTCATCCATTTTGGCAGCTCTGCCTCTGTAATAACTCTGTCTCTGAGGCCGCCTGCTGCCCAGCCCGGGTGCACATAGAGAGATATTACAGTTATCCTGGAAGCATGTGGGTCTGTCTCAGGAGAGAAAGAGGGTGTTTTTTTACAGTACAAAGCTCAAACCTTGGCGCTGCTTTAAAAGTCTCACAAATAATGATGTTGTCTGGTTGGTTATTTATAAGAATTGTCAAAATGGATGAAGTCTATTTTCTTTCAGGTGAAAGAAAAGACAACTATGTCTTTAGCTCAGCTAGCCATGTGACAAACATTTTACATGTCATTGGAGTCCCCTGAGCTTGTTGACAGCATATCATAGAACCCCCTAAGTACTTCCTCTGACCAATCAGATGTCCTGTTTGTTTAACATGAAGCAATGTCCCAGCGAATGAGAGCAGGGCCATCAGAGATAAGATGATCACATTAATTATTCAATATAGAAAAGCCAATTTTCTCTCAGATCTGACCTTTACCCGGTGAATTGCCTCTGCCCATGTGTGTGCGTGTGTTTGTGTGTGTGTGTGTGTGTGTATGTACACTCTGATTACGTCCTCGTTGCCACTGTGTGAATAGCCTTTAATGTCCCCATTGCCAACTCACACCTCTCCACCCACTCTGTTTATTAAAATACAACCATGTTTAAGTGAGCAAATAGAACCAGGATATTAGAATATTATGGCAAGGGTTGGGAAGTGTAAATATCAAGGTTATTGCTTTGATAATGCATAGGGGTTGTGTGTTATATCCTCAATGGCCAACATAATATTAGTCAAGTGAGTTTTCCATTTGGGTTGAAAATGGGTTGAGTACATTGGAATAACAGAAGACCTCCACAAACACACTTTATGAGAAAACATAAAGGATGCACACTAGTATATTGCATTCTGTCAGATCAAATTAGTGTGTCAAAAGTGTTGAAATTGGCACAAAAAAAGAAAGGACATTTTATACTCTGCTTTGTAGTGATGTCCCTTTGAGAGAGAGAGAGAGAGAGAGAGATTGAGAGACAGAGACAGAGGGAGAGAGACAGAGAGAGGGGGGTAATAGAGAAAGTGGAATGGAGAGAGAGAAACAGAGAGAGAAAATGAGGATTAAAAAAGAGAAACACTGCAGCATCGATTGAATGGGTGGCGATGGCCACCGTATGAAGCGCCCTAGTGCTCGGTCCCATAGCTGAGCCACAGGGGCGATTTGTCACCTTAAAGCTCATTAATCACTGAATCGAGTGTTGAGGGGAGCTGTACTGTGCTGTGTGGTGACTGGGGACTAAGCAAGCAGGGTCAGCCCATCCATCCAGGACCCGTGTTGGAGCACCCAGGGACCTGCAAGATCAGGATCAAGGCTGGGAGAGGAGCTACATGGGCTGGGTTGGGGCTGGGTTTGGTTGAGCTGGGGCTGAGGCTGGGCTGAGGCTGGGATCAAACTGCCAGCTCAAACCAGATCCTAAGGTACCTGTCACTTTTCCACTATGTGATATTTTGCGTAGTCGGCAAGATATGGGCCTCTGAGTGGGCAGTTGTAAAGTAGGGGTCCATTTTATATGCTTTTTTTTGTGTGTTTTGTCTCTAATTCACTCTGCCTGCTCAACCCAGATCCTAAAGAACCTGTCAATGACCACCTTCTGACACATGTACTGTACTGTATTGCACTGTACATGCAATGCCACATTTTCCCTATGGGCAGCTAGCTACTGTATCCACAAAAGCACTCCTCTATTTAATATGGTCCCCTTTCTCTGTATTATTCTGTCTAAATGGCAGTAGAGAACACCACCAGCAGAGTGGTCCCACTGGTCTCATCTGAAAACTACACTGGAGCTTTATTGGGGTAAGGAGGTATGGAGCCAGAGCAAGGGGCTGTCACTAGCAGGGGCTGTAAGACATCCAGTAGATGTGGTTGGTCTTTCTCTTTACTACCTACACTATATATGCAAATGTATTTGGACACCCCTTCAAATTAGTGGATTTTGCTATTTCAGCCACAACCGTGGCCAGGCCTAATCGCCCAACATCAGTGCCCGACCTCACTAATGCTCTTGTGGCTGAATATAAGCAAGTCCCCGCAGCAATGTTCCAACATCTAGTGGAAAGCCTTCCCAGAAGAGTGGAGGTTGTCATTACAGGAAAGGGGGGACCAACTCCATATTAATGCCCATGATTTTGGAATGAGATGTATTCGACGAGCAGGTGTCCACATACTTTTGGACATGTGGTGTATCTATTTAATGGACTTGCATTTTTTAAACAGTGTCCAGAGAGCATAAAGGCAATGTGAAGTGCGTCACTGGGTTTTGAGTGAGTGACACAAGTGGGAGAAAGACAACGACTCTAGGTCGACGGTATCACAGCCCTCCATCTCTCTCCAAAGAGTGAATGTTATCTAAAAGGAGGAGTGCAGGCGAGGGGCCAACAAAGATCTCACTCTATCAGATCTCTGACTCCATAGAAGAGTTGCTCTTTGGGGCTATAGAAAGATATCAACACACTGTAGTGTCTCTGTATGAGAGTAGCAAACAGCTAACCTTAGTATACAATCAGGTCGGGCCATCTTTGAGTCTTTGGTTAGCCCTGTAAGAGGACAAAGTGGGGACACTGGGGGCGCAGAGTGTGTGACAGGTCTCTGTCAGAGATGAAAAGAGCACGGCCTCAAAGACATACAGTGGAAGGGAAAGAGCCAGGGTCTAGATATGATATGAATGGCATTGTAGGGATTGAGTGGGTGTATGACAAGTGTTGCCTTTTCAATGTGTGTGTGAGAGAGAGGAGGCTTGTGTGGTGGCTTTTTGAAAGCATGGTGTCTGGTACCTTAGAAATCAAATCAACTCAAATCAAATGGTGTTGGTCGCATACACATATTTAGCAGATGTTGTTGCGGTTGTAGCGAATGCTTGTGTTTCTAGCTCCAACAGTGCAGTAATATCTAACCATTCACAACAATACACACATATCTAAAAGTAAAATAATGGAATTAAGAAATATATACATATTAGGACGAGCAATTTCGGAGTCCGGAGTATAAATATATATGTGATGTACAATACGTACCATAGAATAGCATATATACAGCAATTGTTGAATAGGATGTCATTGACTAGAATACAGTATGTAAACATTATTCAAGTGACCAGTGTTCCATTATTAAAGTGACCAGTGATTCCATGTATGTAAATAGGGCAGCAGCCTCTAAGGTGCAGGGTTGAGTAACCGGGTGGTAGCCGGTTAGTGACTAAGTTCAGGGCAGTGTACTGAGTGGAGGCCGGCTAGTGATGGCTATTTAACAGTCTGATGGCCTTGAGATAGAAGCTGTTTTTCAGTCTCTCGGTCCCAGCTTTGATGCAACTGTACTGACCTCGCCTTCTGGATGATAGCGGGGTGAACAGGCCGTGGCTCAGGCGGTTGATGTCCTCAATGAGCTTTTTGGCCTTCCTGTGACATCGGGTGCTGTAGGTGTCCTGGAGGGCAGGCAGTGTGCCCCGGGGGGGTGATGCGTTGGAATCTTGGAATCCTGTCTTTAGCAGAGTGTTGTAAATCACACACATATTCACAGATGGCTGGGCTCCCCCATCCCTTAGTGTCTCTCACACACATTCACTCCCCTGTATGCTGTTGATAAACCTTGTCATATGTAAACAAATCTTCTTCTATGTGCAGGCCTTTTCTGGGATTGCCAAAGTTAATTTCCACCTCTATGGAAGAAGCCAATCAACATCTTGGTCAGTCTGTCCTCCAAATAAGATGACCTTGCTGTAAACACGGATCCTGTGTGTCCCTGTTCTGTCTGGATCAGCTAGCTAAATAACTATTTTTTTTACTTTTCTGTTTTGATAACCTCAGGGAGAGAGGAGAGGACATCCCGTAACCTCCACAGGGCCGGAGATGGCTCCATGCTATCCACCTCTCTCGGTAAGATTTATCACACCGTAAACCATTTTCCTTCTGAGATTGACTCGGCTCACCTTTGTGGCATCAGGCTGTTTTTTTACGGACACCATTCAGGTCTAATTGATGGCTTACCATCTCTTTTCCCCCTTGTCACAGAGGGTTTATAGGGTCTGTAAAACAGGAGACACAGTGACACAAATGGGATGCAGTGCAAACTTCCGTCAGACAGACAGGGAGGGACGCTAGACACAATAGCTCATATGACAGCCCCGACGATTCAAATCTATGTCCTTTGTTGTGTTTTCATTCTTCTTCTTTTTTACACCATTTTTCCAAGAAACCCACAGGCACTTTCTGTGTGGTTAAAGCTCTTGGTTGAACTAAAACTTATTCTTCTTCTTCTTCTTCTTCTTCTTCTTCTTCTTCTTCTTCTTCTTCTTCTTCTTCTTCTTCTTCTTCTTCTTCTTCTTCTTCTTCTTCTTCTTCTTCTTCTTCTTCTTCTTCTTCTTCTTCTTCTTCTTCTTCTTCTTCTTCTTCTTCTTCTTTCTTCTTCTTCTCTTCTTCTTCTTCTTCTTCTTCTTCTTCTCTTCTTCTTCTTCTTCTTCTTCTTCTTCTTCTTCTTCTTTTCTCACTCCAAAACCCTGGACACAGGGCATAGCTTCATTACTCCCTCCTCTCTATCTCTGATCAATAATGCACACAGCTACTGATTGCATGTTTGTCTGGAGGTATTTGTTTAGAATAATGGGTTTGCCCCCACTGACTCAGTTCTGTAAACAACTTGACCATCGCCAAACTTTATAAAGATAATATGCCATTTAGCAGACGCTTTTATCCAAAGCAACTTACAGTCATGTGCACATACATTTTTTACATATGGGTGGTCCCAGGGATCGAACCCACTACCCTGGCATTACAAGCGCCATGCTCTACCAATTGAGCTACAGAGGACCATTGAGCTACAGAGACCCTATTGTCTGATAAGATAACTAAAATATTAGATCTGCTCCCATGGTGCCAGCTAATCACACTCCACACTAATCACACTAACCAAACAGCGTTTTATATTCACTTTGACTTTATCTGAAGATTATTGTGTAATTTCTCTTAACGATGTGACATAATTATCACTATTGTATGAGAAACGTGTGTATTTCCAACATCAACACTTTTACATAGAAATTAACTGTTTCCTTTTACCTTATTTTTCTATTAAAATCACCACCATGTCTCTGCCAGTGTGAGGGCTACAGAGGAAAGAGGGAAAAGATGCCTCGTGGGGGTTCAGTTTAGTAAACTGTGAACAAGGCCCAGACTGAGAGACCCAGGCCAGTGAGACCAGAGGCATCCATCATCAGTGTTTGTGGTCCATGTCTTTTAATGAACTGTCTGTGAATCTGCTTTGTCTTCTAAAAGGGATTGGGTCTAATTGTGGTTCAAATTAAAGACCCTAATGAAACCAGCTCCACAGCCCATTCATCACCACTAACAAGGGAACTGTACAACGCTTAGTACAGAGAGACATTGGTTGCATCCCAAATGGCACCTATTCCCATATGGAATTCCGACTTAGGAATTTATGCCTTTCCTATGCAATTCTCAGTTGTTGGTATTCAGACTCAGTCTACCTTCATTCACCTGCTGAAAACCCTCCCACTTGCTGGCCAACAGATTTTCTCGTGGAGTTTTCATTGAATAGGGTTTTCAGTACATTTATCTTAAGCCATCCCTTTAAATACAGTGTGCTTTTCATATAGTTAGAATTTTGTCTACAGACTCACTAGAATATATCGAGGGAACAGGTTCAGAATATTAGGGATCAATGAAAGAAAGCCATCTACACTGAACAAAAATATAAACGCAACATGCAACAATTTCAAAGAGTTTACTGAGTTACAGTTCATACAAGGTAATCAGTCAACTGAAATAAATTCATCAATCCCTTATCTATGGATTTCACACGACTGGGAATACAGTCGTGTGAAATCCTTTAAAAAAAAGTAGGGGCGTGGATCAGAAAACCAGTCAATATCTGGTGTGACCACCATTTGCCTCATGCAGCGCGACACATCTCCTTTGCATAGAGTTGATCAGGCTGTTGATTGTGGCCTGTGGAATGTTGTCCCACTCCTTCAATGGCTGTGCAAAGTTGCTAGATATTGGCGGGAACTGGAATACGTTGTTGTACAAGTAAATCCAGAGAATCCCAAACATGCTCAATGGGTGACATGTCTGGTGAGTATGCAGGCCAAGGAAGAAATGGGACATTTTCAGCTTCCAGGAATTGTGTACAGATCGTTGCAACATTGGGCCGTGCATTATCATGCTGAACCATGAGGTGATGGCGGCAGATGAATGGCACTACAATGGCCTCAGGATCTCATCGTGGTATCTCTGTGCATTCAAATTGCCATCAATAAAATGCAATTGTGTTCATTGTCCGTAGATTATGCCTGCCAATACCATAACCCCACAGTCACCATGGGGCACTCCATTCAGTGTTGACATCAGCAAACCCCACACGACGCCATTCAGTTGAAACCGGGATTCAGCCGTGAAGAGCACACTTCTCCAGCATGCCAGTGGCCATCGAAGGTGTTTGTTTTTACTCCTGAACTTCCTCTACCCTCAACCTCTCCGATCATTTTCATGATGTCCATCTGGTTTGCTTCTATATACCATATCTTTCTAACTATGCTCTTTCACAGAAGTCCTCAACCTATAACCTATATACTTATTATGGGCACAGTATGCTTTATATTAGTTATCTTGTTGTTATTAATTGTTGTTAGTTATTAGTCCCATCCTTCAACTCCATTCAACACCATCCATATAGGATTTCTATTTGCCATATATTTTTCAACTGTACTGTGATGTCTTACAAAAGTTCTTAACCCTTCTATTCTCATTGTTTCTACAGATTGTAAATTGAAAATGAACATTTTTGCTAAAAGTAAATATTGCAATCCTTTAGCCATTCCTGAACCTGTGTCCAAAAACAAGCTACAAATGGACAGTACCAAAACAAATGATCTAATGATTCTGTTTCTTCGCAGCAAAATCTGCAGAGCTGGGAAGGTTGTATCCCCCATATAAATAACATTCTATTGGTAGAAAAAGTATAGAAAATAAGTTTTGAATCCGGCGTCGTTTTACGTATCAGTTCATAAAACTGTGCCATGGAATCGGTACGTCAAAAATCTCTTCCCAACTATTTTGCAATCTACGTATATGGGACGGCTGTCAATCCTTTGGTCCTTAAATGAAACTGGTATACTTTTTTACATATCACAATTTTTTTTAGCCAATTATGTTCTTTAATGCAGGGCCGACAGACAAGTTCCTTACTATATTCAAAACAAGATTAATTTATATTTACAATTCCTTTACCCAAACGGATTACTAATTTACCTAGCTCTTATCAATAGCTCTTATCAAGTTATAAATTACAGTGCATGGAGAATGGTGTTATTTCTATCTAAAAAAAATTAAGTACATGCTTTTTCCACTTGGAACCGGAAGGTTCGCTGGACCTTATTCATAGTTTCCTTGCGCATAAAGGTGGTGGAATTATTAGGGAATTAAGTGAATGTCAGAACACGGCGTATCTATAAATATACCTCCGCCACACATTAATTTACTCGATCTCCTCCCCAAACGAATAGCGGGTGAATAGCATGCTATTCTCATGCTTAAGTTGGTCAGAATACGCATAGAGAGAAAAGTGCATAAAAATATAATTATGTTCCATTTAGGAGCGCTTAACTCTGGTTTGAATCGGGCCCATAGAGCTCTGGTCAAAAGTAGTGCACTATGTAGGGTATAGAGGGAATAGGGTGCCATTTGGGACTTATTCAGATAGAGGAGAGGAAGAGAAATAGGAGGAAAAAAGGAAAAGAGAGAAAAGATTTCTGCTGAGAATTCAAGCTTTCTATGGCCGATAAAAATGTATTTTTTGGCTTTAGCCTAATGGGTAGTCATTATTTGTCAATGATTTCTGATCATATCTACCCTTCATTGACTTTGCCTGGGGAAGTACAGTACAGTCGGACGAAGTTAAGACTAACTACACACAGGGCTGCCTGTGTCACAAAGGGACATACAAAACACTGCTAACAGAGACAGAGACACAATCACTCACATACACAATCTCTTTCTCTCTCTCTCTCTCTCTCTCTCTCTCTCTCTCTCTCTCTCTCTCTCTCTCTCTCTCTCTCTCTCTCTCTCTCTCTTGCAGACACACGCACACGCACGCACGCACACACACACACACACACACACACACACACACACACACACACACACACACACACACACACACACACACACACACACTGAGAATCAAGTCATCTTTTTTCCTCATGGGTCTCTCTAAGAAAAACAGAGAAAGGAGGCTTCTGATGACAGGGGAAGTGGCGACGATGGGGGCCAGAATGTGCTGGAGGATACGAGCCTGCGAGGTGCAGGGGAGGGGGGACTTGAGTGCTTCAGTGAGACAGATTTGATAGCTGTCGTTGCAGTGGCTGTGGCTCCAGCTCCAGACCCTGACAGTTGGGACGGATGACTCTGCTGTGAAACGTCCAGGAGAAAGTGGTTTAAGAGGCGCCCCTGGATGACAGACACCTCCCTAATGGGACCAGCCAATGAGATTAGACTTTATTGTCTGTATGAAGCCCAGGCTGTAATTCAGTTTGAAAAGAACAGAGGGCCTTGCCATCACCCTGGGAAAGTTCACACTCGGCAATCTGGACCAATAACACGCTAGACCAGCAGGAAGGAAGGGGATGAGAAAAATAATAACTATAAGAGGGTAAACCTTTTCTCAGGAAAATGGGCTAGGGCTTAGGGTGTTGTTGCAGGGAGGTAGACAAAGGTTGGGAAGCATCCTGTGCTTAAAAGTAATTTGTGTGGTTTGGAGAGACTGGTGTGTGGATATATGACAAACCTTCGTTTTCAAATGAACGCTATTATCTTTATGGAACCACCGACATATGTCAGACTACTATGTCCTGAAGAACACACCCCCTATTCAATATAAGTAGTCAATATATAGGAAACAGAGTGCCATTTGGGATAGGGCCCTGGTCAAAAGTAGTGCACTACGTAGGGAACAAGGTGCCTATGAGCTGGTTTTGGAGGGAAACACGGTGAGTGTAGAGACATAAACAACCACAAGAGGGAGTGTACAGCAAACAGCTGTTTATTGTACATTGCAAGCAAGGACACTGTAATCTAAAATACAAATATATTATCAAAGCTTTCAAGAAACAAAACCCACACGATACATTATAGCAGCTAATAAACTTGTATGTAAACCTGCTGTAGAGGTCTAATTGTATACCAGGACCTGTAGGCTACGACAGAGCATTCATCACCTTTCAGACATTACTGTTGATGTTGACAGTGTTGATAACTGATGCTGACTGGTTCATAGTCGCCTCTCATTCGATGCCTTTGTCTTTCAGTATTTTCCTCACTGTCTTCAGGTAGTCTGGGTCTGGATAGCTGTCACTGAATTATCAGAAATACAAATTAATATCTATCACAAAAAGAAATTGTGTATATAGATAAAGAGTTAATATAGATGAAACACTGGGTCAGACAGGTTACATAGACAGACATAATAGCGAGTATTACAAAAATTAATAATTTAGGGCTTGATTCAATCTGTATCGCCAAAGTTCAGTGTTCTAACATGATTTAAATGTAAAAGTAATTTCCGATTGAGACGACATATGGAGGGTTTACTGTGAATGCAGTCTCCGCTAACATAGGAACTTTGCCTTCTTCTATTGCTCTGTAGAACACACATCCAGCACTTACCTGTCTTTTCCTGCCTCAGGGGTTGTTTTATGGGGTATATCTGCCCATGTGACCATATTCTCTCCATTCTCATTGGTTGCTACAGTAAAGACCAGTCTCTGGTAGAAGGCCTTATCCAATAGCCTCAGGATCCTCCTTCCATCGCGGTTGTCGGGCAAATACGCCAATGTCCTCATTCCCAAAAACGTCTGGCCTGGATTGGGATGCTTGTCCTGTAAAATCAGAATATCTGAGTTAATCCCAAATAATAATGGATCTGTGAACTGGCAGCAGGACAGGACCTATCCACTAAGCGACATAAGCGACCGCTTACGGCCGTGCGTGCGCCTGCTAGGGGACCCCTAACCCAAAAAACGTGTAGTAATCATGGTCGAATTACCGACTGGGCACGCAGGTCACGTGCCCAGGGGCCCTGACTTCTATGGGGCCCACACTCTCACTCAGATATCAACATATTAACATGGTTTTTGTCAGGGATGACTTAAGCCCTGTGAGCAAAACATTTTAGTGTCCCTCCTCGTGACAATTCTGCACATTTTGCCATGGGACGGAGAGAATATTTAGCAATTTTATAACTCATTTTATGGAATTTTACTCATTTTGGCATGGGGCGGAGACATAAATATGCAGTTTTATGGGTAATTTCCTGCAAATCTACACATTTTGCCATAGGTTGGAGGCAAATGTTTGCCGTTTTTAATATGATAACTGATGATCAATGGGTTCCACCCCGGTTGGTAATTCGACCAAGTTTAGATAGCTGGCCGCTACACTCTTAGAAAAAAAGGTGCTATCTAGAACCTAAAAGTGTTCTTTGGCTGTCCCTGTAGGAGAACACTTTGAAGAACCCTTTTTGGTTCCAGGTAGAACACTTTTGGTTCCAGGTAGAACTATTTGGGTTCAATGTAGAACCCCCCCCCCCCAAAAAAAAAAGGGCTAGGGCTGGCTCTGACTAGCAAATAGCTGGCATGAATGACTGTTCTTCCAGTCTAAAATCTGAGATGCAATTCTATGTACGCTCCTGTCTGTTTGATGTTTTCCCTATTTATCAGTGGTAAAGTTAAAGCCGGGTAACCGTCGCTCTGGATAAGAGCGTCTGCTAAATGACGTAAATGTAAATGTAAATGTAACCGGTCGTGTTTGTTCCTTTCCATTATAAACTAACATGAATTCAACGTGAAAGGTTAAAAGTTGGGTGAAAAAAATACAAAATTCCCTTATATTGATGACTTTTTGCAAATCTAATCAGTTTTCCACATTGATTCAACATCATCACATTGACTTTTTTTTGTTGAAATGACATGGAAAGAACACTGATTCAACCAGTTTTTGCCCAGTGGGTGCACCTGTTCTGAATACGTTCAAAGATATTTGATTTCCTTCATGCTAGTTGCTCACTTGTAGTGATTGCATTACACCATCCATTCTGTGCTTCCTCCGCTGTGGTATGCAACATCTCAATTAGACTAGTGACTAGCCTAACCTGATTTACCTTATCATCACATCAACAGGACAGAATGTCACCAGACTCTCTATAAGCACCTGTAGAATGTGATTCTCTTTTCTCAGAACACTCAGAAGTGAAACACACTTAGAATATAGGGAGTAAAATACACTTCAAATACACTTCAAACTTGAACTTGAATTTGAACTATATGATATGATAGCCTGAGTGCCAGTTTGTTTGTGCTATCATGCCAACTCCTCCTGTCACTCATTGTCATGTTTGGCTTGACAAAGACAGCAATGGAGTTGGCAAGAGTACAAACAGATCTGGGACCAGGCTATATGATGTATGCTATTCTGTATAATAACTACATGCTAAGTACTGAAGCCTTTTTTTTTTTAAACACTAACTAACTTACTGTTTGCATTCCATCTGCAAAAACATAATTGATCTGTATGGTGTTGTCCCCTGGGTATCCAGGGAGGTCTCTGTGTAGAATGACCCATGTCATCTGCCCCTCTGGCTGGCTGCCCTCGGACACCTCAGCATAGCTCCCCTTCACGTCCCCATTAGCTGGGGGCAGACACACACAACCAGGTAGGTTCATTCTTAAGCATTAGAGAGGCAAAGAAAGGGATATGAGAGAGAGAGAGAGAGAGAGAGAGAGAGAGAGAGAGAGAGAGAGAGAGAGAGAGAGAGAGAGAGAGAGAGAGAGAGAGAGAGAGAGAGAGAGAGAGAGAGAGAGAGAGAGAGAGAGAGAGAGAGAGAGAGAGAGAGAGAGAGAGAGAAAGAATATCCTGGTAGTATACCTTGGTCTATCAGTGCTGGGGGTCCCTGTCCATCCAGGTACCTGGTGCAGTACATTTTATCTTGTTGAGCACCCATAGCAGGGCTGTGGGGGGAGAGAAATAAGACAATGTACTTTTCAGTAAGAGATAATTTTAAACTATTTAAATTAAGACATTGTATTATTAAACTATGAAAACAACCAGCAACGATAATACAAATAAATAAAGCTACTACTAGTCTGATGGTTGGCCATTGCCAAGATGTATTAAACTTAGTCCCATACACTCACCTGTGTGACTGTCTCCACAGCCTTGTTACTCCTGGGGTTTCTCTTCAAGGGCCCTATGTCCTCCTCTGGTCCTGTAGCTCAGACCACGTTCATTCAGCTCATCCTAATACTAACCATTACGGTCTGGGACTGGTTCTGAGTAACTCTGTCTCCTCTACCAAGCCATCACCTGAGTACTATGCTGCGGTCAAATGTTTTTGACAAAAATGCTGGCAGTCCTGTCGTGTGTGTGTGGGTGGGTGTGGCGGGAGGTACTTTTGACAAAAATTTGCACAGGGTTGAGGTTCTTCCTTGTTCAGCCTCATGACAAAAGGAGGCGTGGCAGAAAGTAGCCATTATCATGTGGTTTACTGTAGGTTCCTTCTTAATCACATTTAGATGGGTTGGTGTTAATGCCTTAAATGCCTTAATCTACAGTAGACTGTAACAAAGGTGAACAATAACAATGTTCCTGAGCTCTTGTGTTCCTTGAATTGTCAACTGAGCCATCACTGAGGCTACACCTTTTCCAATGCCATTTCTCAAAATGTGTTTATTGGTGTTTTAGAGGCATCGACAATATAATTCAGACTGATAAATGAATGGCTATTGAACCAGGAAATGGGACTTTCTATCAGTACAGTGACTTCAAATAGATGTCAATGTAGACCAAAACTCTTTCAGCCCGCTCCAAACTCCCCAGACAGGTGAAGCGGTCAGTCGAGTCATTCATGACACAGGTGTTGTGGGTCACTGGGTGTGACAGACTGGTCCTATTGTGTTTTAGGAGTAAGTGTGATAGGTTACCTGGTCAGTTAGTATCATGCACTGGTTGAAATTACAGTGTTGTTTAAATGTTTCCTTTAAATGTTTGGTGAATGGGGTTATGAGTAACCATCAATGGAGATGTTAACATGTACAGTAGGTCCATAAATGGAGATTGGAGGAGTCACTGAGTGACTGACACAGTATACAGTACTTTCGTTATTAGACATTCTGACACACTATTACAAGATTGTATTGTCTCACACCCAGTGACAGACAAACTGACACCCTGACTAGTGCACACTACTACTCCAATGAATACAGAATGGTGTATATATATTTTTTTATGTAGCTTTTTTTTGCCAATGTTTTTTTTTTATATACCTCTGCCTGTAATATTGCAGATTTTAAATCTAGATTACAGTACATGTTTTCTTTTGGGCAGTGTTTCGTTCTCGTTTATACTTTTGTGCAAGTGTTGATACAAACAACAACTGGAGTTGTATCCCAAATCCCTGGGCTATAAGTCAAGTCCTATGGGACAGTAATGAGAGGATAGGAGGAATGGTCGAATGATGAAGAGAGATTGGCGTTTTCTCTGCCCTCAGCTACCTTTAAGTCCACAGTGGGAGTGGGAGAGGGGCTCTATAAGACTATAGGACTAGTTCGCTACCGACCTGGATCATCAGGAATAGTTTTGTTGTCTGGGTGGTGATGCTTTGAGCACCTTCAATGTTCCTTAAGGAGATTCCTTTGCACCCACCCTGCTCAGCCTTTTTGGTACTTTCTTTTCTATGTCTACATCTTTTAAATATTCTTTGTCTCCTCTTTCTCTTTCTCTTTCTCTTTCTCCTTCTCACTATCTCTCTTGCTCCTCCCTTTGTTTCAACCTGTCATACTAGTCAGACAGTGCATTCTCCACCATTTTCACTCTTTTGAAAGAGATAGAGGAAAAACAGAAAGAAAGAGAGAATACTGTTCATCAGTGTGGCTGACAAATGATTCATCTTTCTAACAGGTTAAGAGCGGTCGGTCAGTCAGTCAGTTGCCAATTGGAGGGGTCACTATCCATTGATGCGCACTAGGCTACAACGAGAGAGAATGACAGCTACTCTATGGATCTTAATCCTATTTATTGCCTTTCATTTCCAGTGATGTACAGTGGCTTGCGAAAGTATTCCCCCCTTGGAATTTTTCCTATTTTGTTGCCTTACAACCTGGAATTAAAATTGATTTTTTGGGGGTTTGTATCATTTGATTTACACAACATACCTACCACTTTGAAGATGCAATTTTGTTTTTTTTGTGAAGCAAAAAACTGAAAACTTGAGCGTGCATAACTATTCATCCCCCCAAAGTCAATACTTTCAAGAGCCACCTGCAAAACTGCTCAAGCTCCTTCAAGTTGAATGGGTTCCACTGGTGTACAGCAATCTTTAAGTCATACCACAGATTCTCAATTGGATTGAGGTCTGGGCTTTGACTAGGCCATTCCAAGACATTTAAATGTTTCCCCTTAAACCACTTGAGTGTTGCTTTAGCAGTATGCTTAGGGTCATTATCCTGCTGGAAGGTGAACCTCCGTCCCAGTCTCAAATCTCTGGAAGACTGAAACAGGTTTCCCTCAAGAATTTCCCTGTATTTAGCACCATCCATCATTCCTTCAATTCTGACCAGATTCCCAGTCCCTGCCAATGAAAAACATCCCCACAGCATGATGCTGCCACCACCATGCTTTACTGTGGGGATGGTGTTCTCGGGGTGATGAGAGGTGTTGGGTTTGCGCCAGACATAGCGTTTTCCATGATGGCTAAAAAGCTCAATTTTAGTCTCATCTGACCAGAGTACCTTCTTCCATATGTTTTGGGAGTCTCCCACATGGCTTTTGGCGAACACCAATCGTGTTTGCTTATTTTTTTTTCTTTAAGCAATGGCTTTTTTTCTGGCCACTCTTCCGTAAAGCCTATCTCTGTGGAGTGTACGGCTTAAAGTGGTCCTATGGACAGATACTCCAATCTCCGCTGTGGAGCTTTGCAGCTCCTACAGGGTTATCTTTAGTCTCTTTGTTGCCTCTCTGATTAATGCCCTCCTTGCCTGGTCCGTGGTTTTGGTGGGCGGCCCTCTCTTGGCAGGTTTGTTGTGGTGCCATATCAAAACTGTGAAAAAAAGAAAAGAAAAATAACACAAATGGAATCATGTAGTAACCAAAAAAGTGTTAAACAAATCAAAATATATTTTATATTTGAGATTCTTCAAATAGCCACCCTTTGCCTTGGTGACAGCTTTGCACACAAAAAAATAAAAATAAGGCTGTAACGTAACAAAATGTGGAAAAGGTCAAGGGGTCTGAATACTTTCCGAAGGCACTGTATATCTATGTCCCACCCTATCCCCATTATTGTGCAATGCTTTTGACCAGTGCCCATAGGGCTTTGGTTAGAAGTTGTGCTCTATATAGGGAATAAGGTGCCATTTGGGACACAGCCTCAGTGGTTATTGGTGAGCTATAGTCTCTGGGGATCTCCTTCTCATCAATCGAGTTTCCTAGCTACCTACCTTAGGGCTATTCTTACTGTTACTCAGGGTTAGAACATTTTAAGGTCTAGGTGAAAATACATTCTGTTTTGTGGAATATCAAACCCTTTAGTAACCCTGCTTCATAGCCCAGGGGTAAGGGTGATGCTAGTGTACTGTGAAATCACAGATTACAGTAAAGCTGCAGTAAAGCTAGAGACACACCTAAATCTGGTATGTAGACAGAATACGTTGTGTTTTCTGGTATGTAGACAGAATACGTTGTGTTTTCTGGTATGTAGACAGAATACGTTGTGTTTTCTGGTATGTAGACAGAATACGTTGAGAAACACACAAAGACACACAAAAAGACAAATATATACTCATGCATGCGCACCCACGTCATTATGCCAGTGCTGATTCTACACAGGTCTCATTAACATTTGGAAGAAATGAATGCGATTCATGATTAGCTCTACTGAGACTGAGTCTAATCAGCAAGAGAAGACCCTGAAGATACTCAGAGGAGAGAGATGGAAAATTCATGAATTGAGAATCTTTATCTTTTAGCTACACTCTTAGAAAAAAGGATTCCAAAAGGGTTCTTTGGCTGTCCCCATAGGAGAACCCTTTCCACAGAGGGTTCCACATGAAACCCAAAAGGGTTCTACCTGGAACCAAAAAGGGTTCTTCAAAGCGTTCTATTGGGACAGCTGAAGAACCCTTTTAGGTTCTAGATAGCACCGTTTTTCTAAGAGTGTACTTTTGATCTCCATGTTACAATCTCTGCAGCATTTTAAAAGAGTCCAACAACACAGAGAAGAGAACATGCTTGTGTGCATGACACCACAACTGACCTTTCACCGGTACAGTGGCCCTGGGTCCTGCTGACAACCTCTAATCTCTCAGAGAGATGGTTTAATGCCAATTTTTCAGTGCTCTATTTATAGCCACCTAGTGTACTGACTGGCCCGGGAGGCGGGAGCACCAATTTGCTCCTCCAACTCTGACTCAGGATGTGTCTTTATCTTGGATACGTTCCAAATTGCACCCTATTCCTATGTAGTGCACTACTTTTGACCAGGGCCCATAAGGATCTGGTCAAAAGTAGTGCACTATATAGGGAGTATGGTGCCATTTGGGATAAAGACTATATTTGGCTGTGTCTCTCCATAACATCCTAGTGTTCTCTGCTGTCGGCATTGACAGGCAGGCACCTGGGTTAAACTGAGGGCATGGTTTAGGTTAACCTGTGAGACGTTAAGGCCACTGCTGCCACCAGAGTAGTGGTCTATAAAGGGGAGCAATAAGCTCACATACTAAGATAGCCTATGACACAGGCAATTACTCAAACACACACAGACACAGACAGACACAGACACAAACACACACTCATAACATGCAACTTTAACCCTCAAACTACCGACTGGGAAGAATTAACTTGTTCTCAATAAATCTAAACCATTGTTTCGTGTTTCTGTATCCATATGGACTAAACAATTCAAGTCTTTTGGGTCATTTTGACCCCAGCCAAAAACACGTAATCCTGCCTATAGTAATTTGATAGATAGGATTTTTATTTGAATCTAGGTTTCTCTGAAGACATAATAACAAGTTTGCCATAGTACCAGAGTGTGGAGGGGGGCCAGAGACATAGCTTCCCATGTACTCGCCTAAGATTGTACTTTTCTATACCAGGTATCATAAGACTGTTTACAAAACCTAAATTACCTTGTTTTTGTGCATATACAAATCTGCCAATGGTATACAAAGTCTGCCAATGGTATAAATACTTGATAGAACTGCAAAACAGAACTCAGATACACTCAGATACACTCTGAATCTACACAGAGAGTTGTACTGGTGTGTATTCTCTGTGAAGTACATTCTTAGAAAAAAAAGGTGCTATCTAGAACCTAAAAGGGTTCTTCGGGTGTCCCCAAAGGAAAACCCTATTATAAGTATTTATTTCAATCCAGGTT